GTTGAGATGTTATCTAACTAGCACCCCTGCACAATAATAAAATAGAAACAGGAGACAGGTCAGTTAGTGCATGTGAACCAAAGCCACCAGGTTTAATGAGAGCAATAAGAAGAAGCAAAAGCACTCCACTTCAAAAGTTTCCCTCAACGCATCACAGATGGAAATTTTCCCACTCAAGAATGACTAGGTGGGGGGCAGAAACAACAGTTTGTAAGGGCTCACCAGCTCGCGCAAAAACCCTCAGATGGTCCACAGTTTCGGTGACATAGGCGCTCTTTGGAGACAGACGTTCGTAGATAACGGAGTCCTACAAAGAATGCAATTTCCTTTAAAAGACTTTGTTGAGATAACGTAAGGATGGCTCTACACCGTGAGTTGACGGTTTGAGTGCTGACTGCTCATTGGGACATTAAATAAACTGGCTGCTGCCACTATTAGAACTGATTTAACCTGCTCCAATTGCCATCGCACCTCTAATTAGTGCGGCTAACCTTCTGTTGCTTAAGGTGAGGGACCGGACAGGTGCCGTCAGTCTGGTATCCAACCCCTCAAACATGTACTGACGAGTTGGAGGCGAAGGAGGTCGGTAGACTACACTCACTGAGATCAATCGTACGGTTTATGTTTACGTACCATATGACTTGCACATCCGTCTGCTCTTAGATTGACTTCAACATGTTCACTTCAGTTACTATCAATCTGATATTGAACGCTCAAAAGTATGCTGACGAGATAGGGGGAGGCAAAGGACGTAGGCAGACTGAAATTTATCGTTCAGTTTATATTTACGCACCATATGACTCGTACATCCGTGAGCACTTGGACTGACTTCAACCTACTCATTTCAGTTCACGCCCACGCTTGTGCTGGTAAATAATAGTTTACAGGTGTCTAGGCCGACTTAACTATTAAATCTCGACAATATTTCTTTTTAAATTAAAAACCCTCCCCACCAAGTGTGTCCTAAATGTGATACGCCTAGCCGAACATCGTAAAACCTTCTCTAGCCCTTGGATTAAACAATCAAAAATTGACAGGGGCGTCAGGAGCTGCCCAGAAAAGAACATAACAGCCCCTAACTCACACGAAACAGGCCGAGACCCAGCTGCATTATGGGAGTGCAAAACCAAGCGTTACTTGATCATGAGTTTACATTCGGTGATGAAAGTTCTGCAAAATGTGGAACCCCAGTCCTATCGATCCCAACGGCCCGAAGTTTTCCGCAACGAACATAATATGCAAACTGGTGATAGCAAGAAATATTCTATGGAACCCATCAGGTTTATTTTACCTGTTTCTCCTATCTCTGGACATGCCGGCACCGCGCCAAACCCATTTTAAGTAGGTTTTTGTTAAATGTGGTAGCAAAGGAGCATAAATTGTCCGGTTAGGCTGGTTCGAATTAGCTGACACCCATCTTCTCGGCATCCTCGTGGGTGAGAAATATTTGAACAGTCTTCAGCAAAAACCAGCTACAAAACAAGCTGACTTGGGTTTGATCTGGACGCGGAAAAACAGCAGCAGTAGTGCTGACAGTGTAGTGACATCAATCCGCGCAAACGCTTGCCTCACGCGGCTGCTAGCAAGTGCGCAGGTCTGCCTACACCAATCCGGTCCGGCCAATCATCTCCCTGTAGCTGACTCAGACAGGGTCTTACTGCGATGACTGCCACGCTCGCACTCTTAGGACACCGGCGCCCTCAGGACCGGATGGGCACTCGGTCGACTGTCCACTTCCTCCAGCCTATTCTCTACTAGCGCTCTACAGAATACACTATTCCTCCTATCTCCTGTCTCGCCTCTTCTCTTCCCACGCGGCAAGGGTATTACCTATTAACTAAGGTCCTTGAAATAACAGTGTACAGAGAGCTGAGATCTCGCATACAGCGAATTCCGATGGCTAGTACGTACCGCGATGATCGTGAAAAATCCTCACATGTGTTCTCGGCTA